TTTTTGAAAAAAAAAATCAAAATTTAAATAAGCTTTTTCAATATTCCCACTATCGGAGTTAAAAAAAACGACAGATCTGACGGGACAAATGCTGAAATGGCATCAGTGCTCTACAGGGTCTAAAGTGTTAGAGTAATTCCAGTCAAATATTGTCGCAGTCACAAAAAAAAAAAACTTTATTATTACGTCGTACGTGGTTTATATAGACTTATCGTTTTTCAAGCTTCGCCATATCCCCCTCTCTCTCTCTCTCCCTCTCTCTCACTCTCTGTCGCTCTCGCTCTCTCTTGCTGCAAGTTCAGTCTTAAGTGTTTGCTCGCAAAACCGCTGGGAAAAGCATTAATTGCGCTCGTTGTAAAATTATTACGAAATGCCCAAGTCATATAAAATAACATCAGAAACAGCTGATAATAATGAAAACAGAAGAACTAGCATAAACAGCAATTTGACTGAACTGTGTAACTGTGGATCAGCACTGAGTGTGAAAATTCCGCTAACGCTGCAACTTAACGGCCGAGGCCTTTGATAAGACTGTGTGTGGGCATTGGTTTTTCGATATAATTGATAATCAGCTAGTTAACAGCTAGCTATCAGTTTATTTTAGAGCATTCCGTTGCTGTTACCAAACGGATCGGTAGTATATATGTCTGTATGTATGTGCATATATTTATACATATATCGATAATGCAATAAGCGTTCAAAAAAAAAAAAAAAACAAACAAACAAACATTATGGACAGCAGCCAGATAAGATAAGCGAACAACTTATGGAAAAGTCAGATACATAAACTCAGACACACACTCACACATTCATTATACACTAATATATCGGCACATATCAAGATATGTGTGCCTTGGAGCGTGTTAATTCCCTGTAAATCAGTCGTCAGACGTCGACATTACCCTTTGCCCGCGTGTTCCAATGTTGCAAAATTTGCAGCGGACATAAGGAGAGAATTATGTCACTGTGCTGATTACACTTGGCCAAAATGCCGGCGCGACGGCACAGTGTCCCAAAGAGCTGACAATTGCTATCATATCTACTACATGCAGCTTTAAACTTTTGATAAGCAATGCCTTCGCTTCAAGCGAAAGTGTGCAAAAGAAAATATGTATAATTTTTCGGAAAATTCAAATGAAAAGAGCCAATCAAGAGCGATCGATAGCTGTACAAGGCGAGCTTAGCGATAGCATACAATTGCATATGCTTTGCATGTATGTAGATATTTACATATGTATATGTATGTATCTCTTATCTCTTATTATTGCAGCTGCTAAGCAGTAGTCACATACATATGTATGTGTGTGTGTGTGTATGCGCATGGGGTCTGATACCGTCGACAATTGTAGATATTTCGCACAGCGTTCGCAACGCCACGCCCCACTGTACACAATCGAATCACAGTTGCTCGCGCTTTTGAACGCCAGCCGCTCTCATTCACTCGTAGCAACGCGCGCTGTACGGAGGCAACGGAAGCCACAGCCGCATAGGTAGCTCCACTAATTACCGATCGCATACTCAACTCGACTCAGACAGAGACTGCAAAGACAGGCGACATGAACAAATACGCTCTGATCGCTGTGTGCCTGCTGGCCGCCCTGGGCGCCCTGCTGCTGGAGGCGCGCGCCAGTCCCAGTCCACAGAAGCTGACCTCGGGCCAGCTGGAGAGCGTCTCGGCGCAGTTTCTGCCGCCCGAGTTCCGCAACACGAATGTCAGCATGGGTAAGTGCAGCTCGGTGTCGGTGACATAACGAAGGCGATGTGGTTAATGATTGGGTTTTGCTTCCTTTCGACAGATGATATTAAGCGCGTCTATCGCGAGAAGTGCAAGAAGGCGACTGGCAAGGATAATACCACGCTGTACAAGGATATCGAGGATGCGGCCGGCAAGCTGGGCGCCTGCCTTAGTGGGCTGGCGAATCTGACGGCCCTGCAGGCCGAGATGGAGGCAGCCCGTCCGATCGGCGAGCTGGACACCGTCTTCCACAAGTACTGCCAGCGGGCGCCCGAGGCCGAGGGCTGTGTGCGCGAGTTCAACGAGAAGGTGAAGCCCTGCCTGAGTGCCGAGGAGCTGCGCCAGCAGGCCACCATGATGCGTCTGGGCTCTTCCCTGCTGAACTTCGCCTGCTCTCGCGGCGGCGATCAAATTGCACTCTTTGTGGCCGAGCAGGGACCAGAGTGCCTGGAGGCGAACAGGGAGAGCATCAGCAACTGCCTGAACAGATCATTCCATCAGTATCTACCCAAGGACGGCCAGGTGCCCGATCTGATGAGCCGGCCCGAGCTGCTCTTCTCGCCCACACACTGTGTCGACCTGCAGAGCTTCGAGGCCTGTGTGCTGCATCATCTGGAGCAGTGCGCCGAGATCACGCCCGCCAACATTGTCCAGTCGATCTTTCGCTTCGTCAAGAACGAGACCGACTGCAAGGCCTGGATGGATGCCCGCGCCAACGAGCGACCCATTCTGCTGGCCAGCAGCAATCACACTGGGGGCGGGGCCGGCAGCCTAGTCACCACCCTCAGCGGCACCCTGGCCCTCACGCTGGGCGCCTTCCTGCTGCGCAACTAGGCTATCACAACCAGAATTCATCATGCTCAGCATTTGGTTGGCTTTGATAAAATGTTTAAAGTATTCCTTATTTCCATTGATAATCATATAAATATATATCATTAATTTTTTTTTCTTATCTGGAGTAATGAGTGTAGTGATAACGTTTCCAGCGAGCATATTTATTTATCAATTTTTTTTTGTTTTTGTTTTTTTTTTTTGTTTTTGTTTTTTGTTTGAATACTTACGTGCGGTACTTTGTAATTTAATGACAACTTTATTTATTGCCTATAATAAACAAACAATTACGATATGTGAAGCAACCGTTCTGCCTTTCCACTCATGCCAACGATATCCCAGACTTGCGGTAAGCTATGTGGGGGCAATCGTCTATATAATAGGCGTGATCGAACGATCGCTTCATCATCAGCAGCGTATATAAATATAAATAGTTACCACACTCAAGCGGAAGGCTTTGTTCTTATCAAATCGCAAAACTTTTATTTTCACCAAGATATGATTGGGCAATAAAGTACGACTCATGCTGGGCTAGGAATTATATTAAAATCGAGGGGTATATCTACTGCTTGATTCAATCAATTGTAAACGTACGTAATAAAACTTTAATTTTTTAATTTATATATTTTCATAAACGAGTTTCTGTTACATTTTGAATGAGCTTAATGGAGTTTTACGTTACTTCAAGACTCGTGAGACTCTTAAACTGAGTCACGCACTCCGGTTGCCGTCAAATCGTTGTATACTTTTGTGCTGCTCGCTTAAATCGAATGCAAATACTATTTGCTATACTATTGAGTGCCCAGTGTAATATACCCCGTTGAGTGATTCGAGACTGTGATGGGTGTATGCGATAGGTATGGCTCTGCGCTTGCGGACGCTAATCAGACGGCATATTCTGTTCGTGTATTAGAGAGATGTTGCTGACACTGCGACCGGGAAAATCCCATTCCATATTGATGAGAGTTCTTATAAATATAGACAAGCACTGTACTTATATTGGAAACGATAAGCAAAATAAAGATAGGCTAATAACTTTGGGCTGCATTCCAGTTCTAGATAAATTATGATAAAATATGAAAAAATTATAATATTACTTTACGCGAAAGAAGTCTGCAAATTAAATGATAAATATAATGAACAAGTAAAAAAGCTCTAGTCCAGACTGCTCGACTACCAGATCCCCTGAACCCTTCGAGCAACTGATATTTCAGTAATTATTCGCACATGCACACACACACACACACACGCATTGACTGCAGTGTGGGCTTACTATGGAAATTTAATTGTTTAATAACTTTTCTTGTAGATGTACTTTCTTCATGAAACTGTCAGATTATGATTATGCCATGGATATGCATGCATTCGCCAAAGCACAAGTCGCTGTTTGAAATACGCCTTGTACTAATATGTAGGTGAGGGGGTGGATATAGGGGTAGGGGGTAAATTTAAACAAAACCCGATATTGTATAAATTACATATAAGTCTACATTTAAAATTTAGAAGCTATAGGTCTAATGATGTAGGAGATACAATTTTATAATTAATTTTCGATAAGGTTTTTATCGAGTTATTTTTGGTGATAAACTCGATATGTGTGCTATATGTACAGACATTTTAAAAGAAATTTTAAGTCTGAAATCGACGGACGGACAGACAGACAGACGGACAGAGCTAAATCGACTCAGCTCGTCGCCCTGATCAAGAATATATATACTTTGTGGGGTCTGCCACGCCTCCTTCTGCCTGTTACATACATTTCAACAAAACCATTATTCCCTAATTTCTCATTTTCAATGGGTTCAGGGTACACAAATACTTGGGCATGCATCAGCGGTAAATAAATATTTGTATACTCGTATATATAAATATATTTGTAGAGGCGATCTTGGAGTAAGCTAGATAGCTTTAGCCAAATAAGTCATGCGCCCAATAATGTAGGATATATGTATATGCTACTATTACTAAGTGCAATATATGTAGGTACATATATATTATACATATATCAAGACTCTAGTTGTAAATAGAAGTATATAAAAACTACTATACTTTTTATTACTGTGTGAACAAGTACAGCAACATACAGATAAAAATATATTTCTTTGGCTTGTCATTAGATTGAATTGTATTTTATACATTATTTACTATATATATAATTAATTAATATGTGCAATTATTCCACTGAAACCCAATAAGCTTTAACAGTTTCTGCCAAGACGATTGCCTTGATGGACTGAAAATTTGAAGCTAGAAGAGATTGCTCTTAATCTCACTCTCATCATGCTCCCCTTGCATATTGCAGAACTAACTTCAGGTTAGCTCAGTCCACTGAAGCTAAACATGCGATTTGTAAGGCGYCTGAGTATATTTCAGAGAAATACGTTGGATTATTATTATTATAAAAATAAATATGAGCAACTAACAGAAGTTCCTCAGTACTACTGAGAGAAAAAAAAACACTTAAATTATTCGAATCAGCTGCTAATTTGCAGCATTTGCGGTGTGTGTTTGCTCCAGCACTTGGTGCTGCTCTTGCGCCTGCTCCAGATCCGTTTCCTGCTCCGGCAGCTCGTCGAGCGTATTCTGATCCTCTTCCATGTTGGCAACCTGCTCCTGCACATCGTTCAGATGCAGCCACGCATACTCGACGGCCGCGCGCAGCTGATTGGCATATCTCCAAACGCTGCGGTCCTCCACCACCTCGGACATGTCGTACTTGACGTCTGGCTCGCGATAGTGCTGCATCTGGGCCAGCTGAGTGCTCAAGGTGTGTTGGCTGCAACCGCCAGGCAGCCACTTGAGTGTGAAGTGATTGTGCAGGGTCACCGAGTAGCGAGTGTTGTGAAAGCACTTGGTCGCCCGATTGGGCAGCGAATAGTTGCGATGGCGCAGTGTGTGCTGCAGCACGTAGAGCTCGTCGGCCTCCAGCTGCTCGTGGTTGAGCGCCTCGGGCACCGTCTTGATGAAGTACGTATTGATGAAGCACAGCGAGACATGGCCGTTCGGGCAGTTCGCCCTCGTCTCGATCTCGTCGGCGTCGACAACGTCTTGCCAGCTGTGGAGCTTGCCCAGCGGCATGATCACCTCGTCGATGTCCACATTGAGCATATAGTCGTGCCGATACATGTTCCTGTAGAAGCAGTCATTGTAGGGTATCAGCTCGTTGAGCCGCTTAATGAGGCGACGGTGCTGCAGCAGCTGGTGCTGATAGTGACGCAGGCGCGGCATGCCGTTGGCCATTGTCAGCGGACGCAGCTCGAGGAAATCGATGCGCTGATAGTAGTCCAGGACCCGCTGTACGGCTGGGTGCACATCGTAGATGTAGGCGTAGATGCGCGAGGCGCCCAGCAGGCGCTGCAACTCGAACCACTCGATCAGACGCGCCGACAGATCCACATAGGGGAAATCGAAGGCCTTGACGCAAACGCCAAAGTTCAATTTGCCGCCGCCAGATGGAGCACTGGGTCTGCCGCTGGATTTCGTCAGGAAGAGGGAGCTGACGTTGGCACTGGCCTTCGGCTTGGCTGTGGTATTAGCAACCGGAGAGCGATCAAAGTGGACGCGCAGCGAGTTGCTGGCGCGGTCGCAGCTGTCGCTGACCAGTGAGACGACGCGCGGCGTGGCGCCCTTCAGTTGGAGCGGCAGCTCGGGCACTGGGCAGCTGAGCAGGTGCGGATAGCTGAGCAGCGGCGTGTGGCCCCAGGCATAGACCCAGACGCTCAGGTACTCGCTGACCCGCGTCATAATCGGCTCCTTGTGGCCGGCATACCACAGCTGGCAGTACGTGGGCGGGAACGTGGAATGGATTTGATTTGCCGTGGCCAGGATGCGCACCACGCCCAATGGCAGCTTGACGCCCGGCCGCATGTCCATGTAGGCGGCATAGAGGCGGAACGTCACGTTCGCATTGATGAACGTCTGCCAGTAGGTGTTGTGGAGCTGCAGCTCCAGCGGATCCGGATACTGGGCGCATGTGCTATTCCTGCGATATCTATGCGGCTTGGCGTAGCGCGTCCAGAAGCCATAGTCCACCTCGGGCAGCTCGTATTCCAGCTGGCGAACCAGCTCCTCATCGAACGGCTCCTCGATAACTTCGATGGGTGAGGCCAGAGCCGACGACGGCTTCGGCGGCTGCACCCGTTCCACTGTCGGCGGTAGCTGCTGTCGCAGGCTCACATCCGTGCTGTGCAGCGTCGTCAGCAGCAGCAGCAGCACAAATATGAGAGACACCGCCAGCACCGTCAGCTTGACGGAACTACTTCTACCTCTTGTTGTCATTGCGGCCAAACTAATTGTGGCACTCATGACGCCAATCGACGAGCCCGACACTCGTTCGCTTTATCTATCGAACTCAACGAACTTGGCCAAGAGCCGAAGTGGTTCCTCCCCGAGTTTTTATCACTGTTGCGCTAACTGCCGTGCTAATGTGCTGCCTAATTAGACTGTTTCAGCAGAAGTCTAATTGCAATATGACAAATGCACGTATGACTCGGCAAATAATAAGGACTCTCCACAAATATTTATATAAACATGAGAAATATGTGAATGGAAACTGGGTAATTCGTGGTTAATGATAGGTGTTTTACACCACGTTTCGTTGCCAACTACTGCAACAGTTTTTCAAACTATCATTCATAATAATTGTCTTCTTCAAGCCAACTGCTACAAGCTTCTCTGTGTATCTCCCGTTGCACATGATTATGGGTTTACCCTTGGCCTCCTCGGGCAATCCAGCATTTAATGAAGTTCAGGTCGAGGAGAGTTATGCTTGCCTAGGGCAAGCTTTTCAATGAAGTTCGGCTTGTTAATCGTAATATGTATATTTTCAGTGCTTCACAAATGAATATATTAAAGTACATATTTACTGTATTAGTATTAAAGCTTTTAAAATTAAAGTACTTTTTTTTTAATTTAAAATTTTGTAATTT